CCCCCCTGGAGGGCGTGCGCCGCGCCAAGGCCTGCAGCGTGGCGGGCTCCTGGGTGTGCCCGCGGCCCCTGGCGCGCAGCTGCTCAGAAGACGTCGACGAGGCTGCCACAGAGGGGACCCTGGAGCAGGTAGGCCCGGCTGGCAGAGACGCGTCCCGGCGGGAACGCACGTGAGGGAGGCCTCCATTCCTCTCTCGCGTTCTGCCACGGGAAGGCAGCCGAGCCTGGCTGGGGACCCGGCGCCCCCTGCGGCCCGGACGCCTGGCACAGCGCGCGCCGCTCAGTGGCGTCGGGGTCGGGTGCGAGGACGGCGCGAGAGACGGCTCTCCCCGCCGGTGGCTTCCGCCCTTTCCGTTCCTCGCTGAGCTCTCGGCGGGTTGGCTCTGGAAGAGATGCCAGGTTGGCGAGGCCCCCTCGGGGCTCGGTATGCGGGTTTGAGAAATCGAAAAGCGCGCGCTTTCAAGACACTCGTGCATCTCCGGCTACCTCCGCTGAGTCGGTCGCAGGGGCCGCGCGGGGAAGAAAAGCGCCGGAGCCGCGGCCGCCTCTGCCACATCCCCCGGCTGGGGACCCATCGGCGACTCGCTTTCTGTCCCGGGGCTCGGTTTGCGCGTTAGCCCGGAGGAGGGGCGGGTGGGAACGCCCGGGCCTCCCATCGCACGCACGAGGATGCCAGGCCCGGGCCGGGTCGGCCACCTGTCGCCTCCGCGCCACCCCGCCCCGTCTCGTCGCCCTGCGGACTTCGGGTTGCGGCAACGAAAACTCGAACTTGACCCTGCTGGGCCCCCTGCCAGGGGCTGCCGAGCCCCGGACTGCCCGTCCTCGTGTGTAAACACGACACCCAGATTCAGTCTTGCTGTGGGCTTTGCACGAGGGGCGATCGCGTGCGTCCCTTGCTCGGCCCTCGCTCCGGTTCTGCGGGGCCGCGCGCCCTCTTGTGGCCAGAGGGAAAAAGCACCCAGCGGGCGCGCTGAGGGCCGGTGGCCTTGGCAGGGTCACCCTCAAGCTGGCCGGGTGCCGTCCCTAGACTAGGAGGCCGGGTGCCTGCGCTCCATCCCGGCGGCCCTGTTCCCAGGAACTGTCCGGGCCTCTCTGGGTTCTGGCGCTTAGCAGCGGTGGGAGAGAGCCCACCGCCTTACCACGCACGCTTCTAGAGTTGTGGGGAGACCTTGCGCTCTGAACCCCACTATCTGGACCGGAGATTGCGCACCGAGGGTGTGTGTCGAGGAGGCGCGAGCAGCGGCGGCCCCCTGCTGGTGAGCCGGGGCTCTGCAGTCTTTCCAAGGGCTGCCACCCAAGACTTCCAGGTCCTCGTGATCTGAGACGTCACCCCAACCACCAGTGTCACTACCCAAGGTCCCTGTGACCTCTTTCTTTCTGCAGTGGTTTGGGGGTCACAGGGAGGAGCCAGGACCTCGAGAGACCTGGGTGTGGGGCAGAGAGGCCAAGTGTGGTTCTCCCGGACACCCTACTCCCCACAAAGGCCCAGGGTGGGGAGACGGGGTCCTGCAGAAGGAAGCCCCACCCTGCCTTTCCTAGTCAGGACAGCATTTCAGGTAGGAGCTTCCTCCTCAGCCTGTGCAGCAGGAACCCCTTAAGCAAGAGTGGTTGACCGCCTGCCTAGCCCCAGGTGAACTTGCAGATCCGCACAGCCACAGCTCTGGAGCTTGCTCTCTGGGAGCAGTGGCCCACAGGAAGGGACAGATCGTGAGTGTGGGCAGAGAAGCGTGTACATTTGGGGCATGGGTGGCGCTGGTGCTGGCAGGGTGGGGTGGGGTAGGTGTGCACGGCCCTCGCCTGGTGGACCTCTGTCAGCACTTGGAAGGCATTTTTCAGAGAATGGACTGGGACATAGGAAAAAACCCTATGACTGGGGTCACAAGAATGGCCAAGGACTTCCATGGCTTCCCCAGCATGGGGTGGAGGTGATAAAAACGGGCAAAGGAAGGAGATGGAGAGCAGAGAGGAAACAGCCAGGGAACGGGAAGGAAAAGCAGGAGCATGGTGGCCCAGAAGCCGAGGAGAAGGGGCCAGAGGAAAGGGGTGACAGGAGGGTCGGGGTAGATGAAGGCTGCAGGACACTTATCTGAAGTGGCCGCCCGAGGCCAGCTGGCCAAGGCTGAAGGAGGTGGGTGGAGACAGCAGGCAGGGAAGGGAGAGGCGGCTGGGAGCCCCAGGCTTTGCCAAGTGATGGCAGGAGCCGGGGCTGAGGAGGTGGGCGAGGGGCAGGACCCTGGGAAAGGGAAGGGCGCTAGGCCTAGGGCAGAGGGGTGAGGGGTGCAGACAAAGGACACAGAGCCTCTGCCACACAGGTGTGCCGCTCACCAGCCTGGACCTTGGGGACACAGTGTGCGGGGACAGTTCCCAAGGGCTGACAGCCCCATGGCTCTCGCTGACACAGGCACCCCATCTGGTCCAGAGAGGGTCTGTTGGCCTGAACTCCAACCCCACCCTCCGGGCTGTCTCAGCCTCCCTGCTCCCCCAGGCAAAAGCAGCACATGGCCGTGGGGGCAGGAAGGAGAAGCAGACAAGCCCCAGACTCACCCTCCCTCCCCAGCTGGGGAGGGGCCAAAGCCCCACCTCTGAGGGCCAGAGATGGGAGAGAGGACAGGGCTTGTCAGGAGAACCCCGCCCACCCAGGAGGCGTGGCCGAGCCCAGGGATGGCCAGGGACCTTGAGGTGTGGCCTCCTTCCCCGCCCTGGGCCTTGGCCCCAGGCCTTGGAGGCCAGGCAGGCGCAGATCTGGAGCCCGCCCTGCTGCCGGGCATTGGCCAGCTGGCCCCGCAGAGTTTCTGCTGCACTGCAACTCCTTACGCAAACAGCCTGGGAGGCACCACACCTGAGCAGGCCTGGCCTGGAAGGATCCCTGGGCCTTGCTCCTCCCTCTCCACCGCCAGGAATTGTGAGTGACCCCTCTGCTGGCACCGGGAGCTCAGGGAGGTTTCCTGCACTCTCCCCTGCCCTGGACTCCCCACTTGGCCTTCCCCGGACGCTTCTGGAACAAAGCTCAGGACAGACCCACTCATGCCCACTCGCGGCCAGCCCAGGAGTTTGGTAAGAGCAGGGAGCTGAAGCCGGGCTGAGACACTGCAGTGAGTGCCCTCCCTCCTCCGACGCCCCTCCCCAGGGGCGCTTGGCCGGTCCTTAGCGGGCCTGTGCCTCACCTGACCTTTCCTCCCCATGACTCACTGCTGCCCCAGGACCTGGCTTGTGAACGAGCAGGTTCTCGGACCCCGTTCCTCTCTACTTGCGGGGCTTCCACCATCGCCTCACCAGGCCGGGGCGACCTGTGTCCCCCGCACAGCGCCCTGGAGTCAGGCTCACTCCTCAGCCTTGGTCTCTGTCCCTGTTGGCGCCCAGGCCTCTGAGATGGGGCCGCTCCCCTCCCCCTACGCCCGGCCCAGTTGTCTCTGCCCTCCCTGGTCTGCAGGCAGCCTGTGTACTGGTCAGCATCAGGCCCTGGGGTACAGGATGATGAAGTTGGGGTCCTCATCAGAGTATTGGGGAGATTGGGGGCAGGGGCTGGGCTGGTGAGCAAAGGCACTGTGACCACTGGTGGATGTCCGGGGGGAGTGGGGCCCTAGGGTCCGGGGGCATTGGCGTTCTCGCCTAGATTGCGAAAGCTCTGTTTCCACACTGAGGGTCTAGTGTTCGTTAGGGTTAGGGAGCCACTGCCTAGCACAGGTGAGGCCCGAGGCCCACTGTCCAGCTCAGCCCTGGGCCCCCGTCGGCACCTGCTCTGCATCTTCTTAGCCAGAGAGCAGAGCCAGGTCCCATGTTGTCCTAGGAAGTTGAGGGTGCTGCCCCCGCATGTGTCCATCCTGGTCCTGTGGGGTGAGCTGGCCTGGTCACTGGGAGAAGAGGGGTGGTCCTGGGGCGCATGGTAAAGTGCATGACACCATTATGGTTAGAGCATCTGATGTGGTGTGTGAGTAATAGCCTCCTCTGCTTTTCATATTTTCTGTTGGAACATGGGTGTGTGTGACGGTGGCTGCAGGCTGGACATGCCTAGCCCCTTGCTCTGGGTCACCTGCCAAGGCCTGTGTCTGAATGTGTAGGTGGCGGTGTCTCCAGCACCTGGTCGAAACTCACTAACAGCACTTGGATAATGAGAAGTTTTATCTCTTTCCTGCTAGCATCTGGGTTTCTTTTTTGTTTTTTTTTTTTTTTTGAAACAGAGTCTTGCTATGCAGTTCAGGCTGGCCTTGAGCTCGCTTGGTAGTCCAGGCTGGTCTCAAACTCACAATGATCCTCCTGCCTCAGCCTCCCAAGTACTAGGATTACAGGCATGCGCCACTGTGCCTGGCAGCATCTGGGTTTCTGCCTGTTTTTACTCCTTTCAGCTTCTGCGGTGTGCTGACCACTGAGTATCCTCCTGCTTGTCCTTTCCTTTCCTTTCTCTTTGTCTTTTAAGACAAGTTTTTGGGTTTTTTGGGGGTTTTTTTGTTTTTGTTTTTGTTTTTTTTGAGACAAGTCTTTTTGTGCAGCTCCTGGCTTGCACTCTTGCCCTCAAGGCCCTCCTTCCCGATACCTTGGAGTGCCAGGATCCCAGGCAGGTCCCACGCCGGGCAAAGCACCCTGCTTTTTTTGCTTGCATACTGATGGAGTCAGGAAACTGCAAGTGCTGCCCGGACACTGGGGGGCCCCGGCCTTGGACAGCTAGCTGTCCAGGAGCAGCTGGTCAGCAAAGCCCTGTCAGGGTCAGGGCTGGTGCAGGCTGGGCTTGTCCCCTCCCAGAATTTTGTTGGCAGAAGTCTAGGCACGCTTCCTGGAGGAGGGGGCTGACCTCCAGGCCACCCCAGACCCAGGTTCTCGGTGGCAGACTTCTTTCTCATCGGTGCTAACTAGTCTATTCAAATTTTCTATTGGTTAATTTTGGCCATTTTATGTTTTATTAGGAAAGCATTTGTTTTCTCTAGATTTGTAAAATCTTCATTTAAAAATATATTGTGGATTTCTTTGGAGCCAATGAAATGATTTTTCTAAGCCTTTTATAGATGTAGAAAATTGTGTATTCTCTATATAAGGGATGTAAGTTTCCATGTGGATTGATCTGTTGGTCATGTTGATTCAGACTTTCATATCACTTTTTGTCTTTGCTTCTATAGAGGTTTTTAAAAGTTTCCACT